TGCATCAACCACCCATCCCTTCCTTTCCCCTCCCAGCCAGTCCTTGCTAAAATAGGAGATAATCCTATTCATATCCCCCCTTGGTCCAGCTTGTCTTTGGCTGCCTTCCATCGGGTCGCAATCTCGTGTAAAACCAATGTTCGTATTTGTTCCATTACTTTTCCGTCTTCCACCTGCGCCCCCTCTACCTCCAGGATACATCTCTTCCACCATATGACCCATAGGACGCTCCGTCTTCCAAGGTTAAACATATTTTTCTCAAATTTATTTCCCTAGATTTGAGGGCAGTACCCTAAGAGTATGGCCCGCCAATCCCATGGCCACACTGCACCAGGAACAATGTGCCGCCAAATCCTATCCCAACTTCTCCACAACAGCACCGTCGCGGGACATTGAAGAAAAATATGCTCTATGGTCTCAACCCGCTTTCGCCCAGGGTAGCTCTGGAGACATTTATGGCATCATGGCAGTGCTTTCCCTTGTTGTTCCAGGCGAGTGTGGTTTATCAGCCAGCCATTGGTTGGTAGACATCGATGTTCTATTTGCCACTGGAGGGCAGAGATTTTGGCAAGTCTACTACTGTAATGCGCGAACCATCGGATGGGTTTAAGCAGGCTGCGGTCTATATTGAGATGGCGATACCATCTGTCTACAACGTGGTCCCGCAGTCTGCATTTAGGTCTTAGCATTCGGTAGGCTGATTTAGATTTTAAGTTGAATAATGTCAACTTGTTTGCCTCCCCCTTGCTGGTCCGGGCGTCTAGGGACCATTGCCACTCCTCGGGGTCCAGGGGGAGGTCCTCGATCGGGATCATTGGGCTGTACGCCCTCTGGCGACCTTCTTCATCAATGACCCTAACACGATAGATGCCTTTTCGCTCCTTCTATATGAAGGTTTGTTGGTTCCACCGTAATTCTTCGCCCTTCAGAATGGAGAAGACTTCGATCACAACGTGTGTTTGGTCGGCAAAGTGCACGCGCCCTACCTCCCTGTCGTGGTCGGGCAGCCCCACCCAATCTCCTTACTAAACGCAGGGACCCTTTCGTAGGGGGAAACTGTCGATGAGATCATTCAATGTCATCTCAGTAAAATGGCAGTACCGCAGACATGCTCGTATTCTTTCCGTGCTCTTCCATCTTTTTGCCTCCATATCCCAAAGGCCCCCGACCCTTCGTACACCATGTTTCACCCAACCCCTCCATGGAGTATCCGAGCTGTACCTCACACACCCCCGAGAGTCATTAGATGGTTGCTAAATAGGGGTTGCCTAAATATTTCTTCCCATCTCTCTGGTGCTGGTCAGTCGGGGGGAGGGAGTTTCCTCCATGTGCATATGAGGCGCTCCCAGTGTCTGTCAGTGGGGTCTCCGTTCCTGTATTTCCTGGGTAGCCTCCAATATCTGTCCTCGAGCCATACCCAGGGGTCAATCTCGGGTGGGGTTTTCGGGGCCAGGGCAGAGATCTGTGCCAAGGCTAGGGGGTTCTATGGGGATGACGGCGAAAAGATAATATGCTGAACCCAACGAATCGAGAGGGCCTGGAATTGTGTGGCCGGGTCCACAATTCCTAGTCCACCTATGTTCTTGGGCTGAATCACGGATTCCCACGCCACTCGGCTAATAGCGTGAGGAATGTTACTATCGCCTCTCCATAGGAAGACCGCCAGCTGTTGTTTTAGTACTTTGAGCCCCCCATTACTCATGGGCCATAAGATGGCCTTGTACCAAAGTGTGGCTAGAACTACGTTATTAATGACGAGTGTCCGTCGAAAAATTGAGGTGCGCTTATTGTTCCATTTTTCCAGCTTGACTCGCGCGGGTCCTGCTAGCCACTCGTCATTAGTTGCCGGCTTCCCTCTAGCTGTGACTAGCGCCCCCAGGATTCTTAGGGGGTCATCCGTGGGGAGCCATGTGATTCGCGGGTTTTCCGGGGGTCTTCCCCCTTGGTGATGCATCCACCACCCCACTATCTTCTGTCCCCAGTTCACCGTCATATCTAACAACTGGCAGAACTTGTTCATAAGATGCTGAATTTCTTTCATGTTGGATCCTGACGATTCGACCATTATGGTAAGGTCGTTTGCGAATAAAGAACAAATAGGTATTGCTTGGCCCTGCCGGATAGCTGTCGAGTACCAGCACAAAAAAATCCATATGCCCCTACGGGTAGGGTGCATCTTTTCAGCGCACCTTTATGGCTACACCTATGGTAGCCTCTCTCTCTCTCTCTCTCTCTCTCTCTCTCTCTCTCTCTCTCTCTCACACACACACAC